GCTGACGGTGCCCAGGATCTAGCGGGATCGGACCCGTCTAGGTTAGAGTGGGGCAGGTGATGGTCCTTCCCTTGCTGAGGTGCCGGCCTCGCCTCTTGCAGCTGCCTGGAGCTTCTTCTCGTTGAGACAAGAGTTCTAGCTGTGGGAGCACAAGGGCAGAACAGACTGCTCCGAGCCACAGGAGAGGGGCGGAAGGGACTGCCAGGAAGACCTTCATCCTTGCAGTGCTGCTGCTAGAGTTACAGAGAAACCTGCTGCCTCTCCTCTCTTGTTTCTTTTGATCTCCTGGAGAGGAGAGGTGAGTTGTTGTCTTTCCCTGTTGTACTGTAGCAGTGGAGAAAATACGCTAGCTTGCAAGCTGCAGAACTTGTTCAGGATGGCTTCAAGCCCCAGCTGACAGCTTGGTTTATTTTACTTGAGAGTCAGCCCTGTGAAAAGGCCCACTGATGGAGAAAGAGATTAGCACCGTGTTAACTGCGCGGTTCTCTCTCCTTTGCTGCAGTGCCCACTTTCACCGCTGTCTCCTGCTCTGCCTGTTCCTGCTTTCAGCATGGTAAAGAAGAATACTATCCCCGATGGGTAAGTATCCCTCACACTGAGCAAGAGGCAGGAGTGGGCATAGTCCTGCCCACAGAGAAGGGGCGCTGACTGCCCCAGGCGCTTTCTTACCACAAGCATCTTCACCACCTAGAGCCAGGTAAGGTAGGTATCTTCTCCAATACAGGAGCAACCCAGCCCTTCACCCCCGAGGTGAGTATAATGCTCCAGCCTGTCTGTGAACACTTCTTCATCAGCCAAGTGGAGTCCCTTCTTCCTAACCTTCTTACCCCCAGGTGTACACTTACTGGGGAAATGAGAGAGTACTCCATCTTCTGACTACTCAGCAGTTTGCCACCAGGAGTGGAGGAAGAGCTGATAAGATGGGAGCAGGTGGTTGCATGCGTGTGGTCAAGGAATATTTTTATGGATTCCAGTCCGGAAACGTTCTGCGTTTTTGATTTTAACAAGGACAACAAAAATATTTTGTCAGCAAAAGTATTAATAAAAACCCCCAAATGCACTATACAGGCTTTCCAGTGACTTGACTGGGAGTGCATATGGGGACCACTGAATGATCTCATTTCAAACAGATACAGTTCTATTCTCTAGTTCTACTGGGGAAAAAAAAAAAAAAAACCAACAAACAAAAACCAGGAAGTCCAAGTTTAGAAGTTTAACCTGTGTGTTACCGCTCACATCAGTACAAATGTACTGCACAGGAGGGTGTGCTGAGATACAAAGGCACACTGAATGGGACAGTAACTTGCATTTTTTTGCAAGTTTACATTATTTGAGTTTTTGCAGTCCATTATTTGAGGAAAGGTTAACATTATCCTGGTTTCAGGGGAAGTGTTAATTAAGTTTATTAAGAACGTTCTTAGGAGGAGCACGAAAACACAAAAAGCATGTTTTCCTGCAAAATACATTGGCCTAAAAGCAATAAAGAGAAACAAAAGATGAATAAAATTTTTAAAATATCTTCAAGAAAATTTGAAGATTTTTTCATAGCTGACAAACTCAGGGATTAAAATTATAATAAAATTTAAGAAAAAGTGTTTAAGTGTGTCTTTCTCTGAAAGCTTCTGTGAAATTTCAGTTAAAAGGGACAAAATTGAGCTAAAGTGGGTTACGTTTTCGAGCAGTAATGTAGAAAGCCTGAAAGAATAACTGTCCTCCTTGTTTTCTCCATACTTTGAAATTATTACTAAAACTTTGAGAATCGGGTGCTCATTTCTCCCTTTTTTTCTCTGCCTTGCATTTGAATTGGAGCAGCTTTCAGGCTACATGCCTTTTGTCTCTTGAGTATGGAAGAAGCAGTGGACTGTACTTTTGGCTTCTGTGATTGGAAACTAATACCTGTGTATCTTTCAAGGAGAGAATCATCTACTGTGGGGTAATTGGTTATAAAGTTAGTGGTACCATCTGACCAAGCTCATGGTACCGAAGTGCTTTTCGCTTCTCCAGATACTTACTTTTTTATACTATCAACAGATCGGGCTAGACATCCACAGTATTGTGGTTTTGGCAGTAAAGCAGTTTAAGGAATTGTCAGTCTCCCAATCTCATGCAGCAGTATATTGATGTCATCCTTGTGCTATCACAGCATGTTGTAGTTCTTTACTGTGAAGGAGTTTAGTACACCAGGAAAAAATAGCAGGAAGCATTGGAAGAGGACTTAAGGAAAACTAATTTTAACCTAGGTAATCCTGCACATGCAATTTACTGGCACCAGAAGCAGTTGTTGGCAGAAGTGAGATTGTGGTACACTATAGCATAAGGACTAGTCCAGATGGTAGCATACTATGGAAGTAAAACCTCAATCATATCACAGTATTATAATAGCAATAAATCTGGCAGTAACTGTTTTGGTTTTAATGATGCTGGAAGAGAAACACTGTAGTAGATAAACCAAAGAATGTCATGCTACATAAAGACATTTTTTAAATTGTCTTTCAGTTACTGCCTCAATTCTTTATACAGTTCTTAACAGTTTTAATCCAAATTCCATTATGCTGATTAAAGCAATACCATAATTTTGAGGTTTCAGTTAAGTTATAAGTAGCTAGCAATAGTGCAATTAAACAAGGAATAGCAATTTTTTTCCTTCATAGCCAAAAGCAGTTCTCCCTTTTCCTAGTAATGTCTTGGAGCAGAGCTGAGGTGTACAGCATCCATGGCAGTCTCAACCCTAGAAAATAGTGCTGGAGAAGTAATTTTGTAATGAAGTGAGACATCAGTATAAGAGAGGGATTCAAGCAACCCCTTCCACTGCCATTTCCACCATGGAGTCAAGTTCTGGTTCTTCACAGTGTCTGAAATGGTATTGTCCTTCAGTGGTTGTATACTGTGATGTTTTAGTGGAGAACCAGCCAGTAAAAGGAGTTCAAGTCGCATATCAAACAGTCGTAAAATTCTGTGATGTTTCTGCAGATTTAAGCATGTTTGTGCTTCAGCATCCAAAATCATACCATGGGTATAATTTCATAAACTCCGATTCCGTTCTGAAAAGCATCTGCAGAAATGTTCCCTTCTTGCATGTTTCGCTTAAGTGGTATAAAACAATAACAGGAGTGGGATCTTTTTATTAAAGATAAAATTATTTATCAAAGCTTAATTATTTCTGCCTAGGCACCATAAACGTACTTGTTTAACTGAATTGTTCCTGTACAGACTTAAAAGCATCGGCATTTTAACTTAAGAATGTTAAACTCTATGGCATAACTGATCATGGATATTCAGGGGTGGATGGGAGGGAAGGGTTAGCGTAAGGTGAGAATTTATTTGTAAAGTAAAAGTGCTTCGTACCTTCAGACATGAAATGTTTGCATTTAAAAATGTGGGATGGAGAGAAATTACTTCATATAGTACCTGAGTAATTATAACATTGCTCTAAGTGTTGAAGGCCCATATCTTGTATTATGATACACCACAAGAAGTACAAAGCTATGCAGTTAACTTATTGAGATGGTAAGGAAACTTTTCTGCCATGCTTTACATCCACACTATTTTTTTACAAGCTATGACTTATTTACATCCCACTTACAGGGGCTGAAGAAAAGCAAAGTGAGAAATCTATGTAGTAACAGGGGATTAGAGCTATATTCTTTTGACCTGTTCAGTATGCGTTCTGTCTTGACAGTATGTCATGCTCTTTGTATGTCCAACTTTTCTTCAGAATAGTATTTCAACAGAATAGTATTGAATCTGGTGTCTACAGACGTATGGAAGCCACTTGGAAAATAAAGTATGTTTATCATGCAGTATCAGTAGCCAAAAAAAGGAGAAGAGGTTCCAAGTGGTATCTTCTAAATGATCTTGCTACAGCTGACAGCATTTCAGACTTGAGTTTCTCTATAGTTACAATAATTATCCTTTCTGAGTGTTTTGGAATTCACTTTCCCAGGTAAATTCTAAAGTCATAACTGCTTCATAATCATAGATGCTCATGAGGGGCTTCAGAATTGTGGAAACACTGAATTAAGCATAGCTTCAGATACTGATCTCTAAACTTACTTCTCTACCCACTGTAGCTTTTGAGTAACGGATACCTATTTACACTGGTTTTACTAACACTAATTTTTAACTATTAGGTGAAAATCATTCTGAATTGAGGCCTTGAGCTCAGTGCTAGTTTCTCTTACTCTGGAATACTGGAACACATTATTGCTGAACTGAATGTTATACACTTGGAAATGTAAGATAAGAGAGCTTGCTTCCTTTTATACTTAAGGGTTTTTTTCCTGCTAAAAATACCATAATTACTCTATAGAAGTATTACAGTATAGAGATTTTTATTCACTTTTTTAGCATATACAGATGTAGACATAAGTTTTATAGGTGATCTAAAGTGGGTTTAGGCTTCAGAAATCCAACAAGTTCTTACTGTTTGCTGTGAAGAACTTGGAGGACATCTGTTGACAGTTTGCTGTGCTTTATATTTTTGTATAACTGTCAGTGACATCTGACAAACTAAAGACCTGAAACTTTCGAGTTATTTCCAATTCTGTGGCTCCATTGTATTGTCCCTATGAATTATTTAGTAGCATTCTTGGCTAGCTTGCCATTAAAAATGTACATAATATTTTTATGTGAAACATACTATTTTTCTTTTAACAAATTACAGAAGAAAGCAAATACTAAGATATCCATCTATTTAAATGTTTGAGTGTGAATTACATGCAGCTGCATATTTATCTGCTTCAGTTAAAACTTTTAGTGGAGCCAGGTGTGGAACATGCAGTTTTGTCGTACTTTAGTTTAACATTTCTGTTAAGGAGATATAGTAGCTATAATTTCCAGTATAATTTTCTAAGTTTTAGAACCGATTCATATTAAGATTTACTTTCAAATTATGCTCATACCAAACGAATAAAGTTTTCTTAACTAGGTTTCAAAATTGTGTAGAATAATTAAGATATTACAGGTATTTACAATCTGTGCTGTGTTTTGCAATTCTTTGATATGTAGTTTTGTATGTTTAAAAACGTACACAAACATCTTTGCTATCACATTTAGTTTGTGGGGTTTTAATAGCAACATATAGTTATTATTATGTTCTTTGCTTGGATTATTGTTTTGGTGTTCAACATACCTTTGAGCTTAACTAAAGAGGCTTCAGAATGCATACTAAATTTTGCCTTACTCAAATTTACTGCGAGGTTGTTTTTTTTCATGGGCATTTCTGTAATGTCTTCTGTTGTCGCATTTGAAGCTGGAGGCTGCTGTGCAGGCCCTATTGATGACCATCAGTTCATTGGACTTGGAGCTGACTGTTTTTTAAAAGTGTTTTTCTAAGTTCTTGTTGCTGTTGGGTATTTTCTGTTGTCCTCAAACAGAGGCCATTTCACTGGTTGCTGCTGTTACAGAGCACAGTGCTGCTAGGTTCTTGGGTTAATCTAGATGACATATCTTGTGAACTTTTAATAGTGTGCAAAAGCTAGTTTCTTCTCTGTTGTTTTACTGAATATCTCTGAAATTTTTAGATTAAATAAAAAGACAATAAAACATGCTTGCTTTTCATTTAAATTAAAATTGATAAG